GGGAACGCGGGCCCCGCTTGCAAGGGGGGAACGCGGGCCCCGCTTGCAAGGCGGCACGCCGCCCCATTGGGGATCGTATCCTCTCTCCTTGCGGTTTTTGCAAAACACGCGTAAATAACAGGCCTGCTTTCGCCTTTTTCAGAGCGCCCCGGCGTCAGGTCTTCCTTATTTTTCTCCGGCTGTTTCCTCAGCGAATTATAGCATCGTGAAGTCATCGTGGTGCCAGTAGATCACTAAGAAAGAAAAGCTTTATATTACCATGGAAATGGCTGGATGATGCTGTAAATTGCTGTCCTCCTGTAGCGTGGAAAGTGTCTTCTTCCCCTTTGGGGGTGCTTATTTTGAATGAACCCACTAGTCCTCATGATCCGCCGGCCTTAGAAAAGCTTGGAGCTCTGGCTTTGATCCAAGCACCCCATTGCTAGATGCACTGCCTAAATAATTACATCTTCCTGTGAAAAATGGTTCCAGGTTCTTGGGTTGGGTTTTGGCCAGGGGGGGGGGCGGGGAGCTGCTGCTGTGATCGGGGTACCCAGAAGAAATTTAGATCCAAAGGCAGGACAAGGTGGGGAGCAGTGGGTGGAAATTAAAAGGGATGAGCATCAGGGCAATTAGGAGGAATTAAGAGCTATTGAGCACTGGAACCGTCTGCTTAGAATAATGATGAGTTACCCTGACAGATGGGTTTCAGTCGTGGAGCTGGATGTCTTCCTTTTGTGGAATCTTGTCCTGAGAAGGGGGTTGGACTAGGTGACCTCTCTGATCCCTTCCACTTTATGTATAAATGTGTATGTCATCCACTGCAAAAGCTCTGGGTGACTTAGATTATTTTATGCAACGTGCACCATTCTAAAACCATCCAACGTTCTAAAATAACCTTAGAACCTTCAAAACATTAAAATATAACATAACAAAACATAACACATAGATTGTGTTATGAATGAGCACTTGCTGGGTTGGCATTTAACTTCAAGTGTCCCTGTAGAATCAAGTTCTACATCCAAGCACATGCACTGCGACTTTTGTAACCAGTTTCTTGCCAGGATGGGTAATTGACTGTAAGGTGTTTGAGGTGGGACTGCCTTCAGAAGTGTCCTGGAAAGTTTAGATAACTCGAATGCAAGCTTAGATAACCAGGCCAGGGAGTGGAGATCACTCTCTAGTTCTGAAACAGCTGTACAAGTTCCCTGTCCTGTCTTGGAGATGATTCCAAATGTTGGTCATGAACTTCAAAGCTCTGTAAGGCTTGGAATTTGGATATATATTGCCCCTTTTCATATTGGCCAGCCCAGAGTCCTGTTCCAAGTGTCTCCACCATCTGAGAAGGCTTTGGTAATTATGGAAACATGAGACCTTTCTAGTGGTGGTACCCTATTCATGGAGTACTGGAGAAGATCTTCCTGGATCATAGCATTTTTTTTTTCTATACAGATGAAACTGCATTTTAATGTTGTCAGTTGTGGGAAAGCCAGCTGTTTGATAGGTAAACTTTAAACAAATGGACCCAGATGTGAAAGATGGAGCAGGGGGAAGTACTTGAGTAATTTCCTCTGGAGTTAGAGAGACAACAAAGCTCAAGCCTATATCTGGATTCGAGTCTTTTCAAGCTTTTTGAATGTAAGGATCTCTTTTCATGTTGGCTCAATTTACTCTTACACATAAGGATAAACCAGAATTTAAACCATGGTTTGCCGAGAAAACCGTAATGTCCTAGTTCATAGAAATTGCTTGGCTCACCCATCACACTTAAGCTAAGAACAAACCAACCATCTGTTGGGTTACTGTGATACATGAACCCAGCCACTGAGTCTCTTGCATGACCACCACAGATGGAGAAGGTTCTCAAGTCAGGAATAACAATGTGCTGTCACGAATAGGCACAAACCCACAACTCTTCTCTGGCTACACTCATTGCAATAGAAGTTCAACAGCAATGGACAGACTCTTATCCAAGCAAGGTTTTTTGGCTATTCCTGAAGTGAGGATTCCAGAGACATGTCTAAGGAACCTGTAGCAGAACGCAAAGATTGCCACATGGGACTTTTGTCTGATCCATAAGGAGGTTCTCTCAATCAGGTGGCTTTCAGATGTGTTGGACTTTTTAACCTCCATCTTTTAGTTCAGGTGGAAATTGTGGGAGTGGGCTTAGCACATCTGGAGAGCATCAGATTGAGGAAAGTGCTATGTGAATGTTCATAGAAACCTAACAAACAGCTTTGGCCACAGCATGGTTTCTCAACCTCGACAGCTTCCAGATGTGTGGACTGTGTGGTCACTACTGATCATTCTGGGAGTTGGAATCCATATTTTTGGAAATTGCCAAAATTCCTGGGTTGGAGCAAGCTCAGTGGCCAGTTTAGCTTGGTGGTGGCTTCGTTATCTTCAGTAGATTCATCAAGAACCATTCATCCATAAGAACTCTTAGGAGTTTAAAGTGAGGATCTTTCCATAATCTAACTGAAGATGCTGTGAAGTGGATGTGGGACCTTCTGCATGCAGAGTTGGCGCTCTGTCACTAAGCCGTTCCCTGTTCTTTTGGTGCTGAGTCTAAAGTTAAGTTGATTTTAAGGAATCTATTTTCACTGCAAAGTTGGCTGTAGATTTAACCACTAGGACAAACGAGTAGTTCGTTGAATTGATTCCTAGGTCTGAAGCTGTTTAATTTGAATGGGGGAAGATTAGCTGTGTGTGTGTAGGGGTATATGTGTATTTCAATTCTGGATGAGGCATGAAAAACCTCTAGTTGTGGAAGGAATTATATCCCCCACCACTGGCCATCTGGGAATTCAACAACGTCTTGAGGACCTCACATTGGCCTGCCCCGATGTAAGCATGGAGGAACCACAGTGGGGGAAACTGAAAGGCCAGATACCGAAATCCCAATTTCCTGTTCCTTTCCAGACTCTCCAGGCATCAAGATGTTCTTTACCTGTGGCCCCAACGAAGCCATGGTTGTCTCAGGTAAGTGCCCCATTTTCTGTTCCTCTTTCTCAACTTCTTATCTGACCAAATAGGCAGTTAGAACGTCAACAGAATGTGGCGGTGTGGAGTGCCTGTGCTCAAGCTAACTATGTTTTCTTTCAGGCTGCTCTGTTCCAGAATGCACGGATCACTTTGCACGTTCGACCCTCTTTGGGCAGTTTGGATGAAGTTTGCACTTTAGGATTTCGTTTGGAGATATTGTTTTCCCCTCTTTTTCTTTTAGCCGTTCATTGTTTTTATTGTCGCAAAGTGAGTTTCTGCCAGCAAATGCTAACCTTCTTGATTGTGCCTGCTTCCTGTTTCCCAAGAATCACATTCTGGCTGCATAGCCCTTGAGTTGCTTCTTTTTTAGAATATCTCATTCTGTTCCCTCTTCCTTTTTTTGATTGGCCATTTTTTTCATTTTCCCCAAGAAATAATCAGCTTCTGCAACTGCTAAATAGTCTCCCAGGACCTTTTTACTTTTTATTATCAGTTACCGATAATGTTTATTCAGTCAGTGACCCACAACATTTCAAAATATACAACATGGAACTAAAATCAAATGGGTGAGATAAAATGCCAACATAACAGGAATCTCTATAATAAAAGTGTAACATGTGCTAATTAAATGTGCAAGTATAAATCTAATATATTACAATCTATGGAGTGAAAACCGCTACTCCCGTGCCCACCCTAGTCAATCAAATGCCAATTCAAGGCTGGGAGGAGCATTTTAGATTGGTTGTACAGGGATCCTGCTAGTAACATAAATGAAAGTGAGATCGACCTGGACCAGGTGCAAAACTGGCCCCTGGTCCTGTGCAAGAGGGTTAGTAACCCATTTGATTGAATCCTTCAAGGCAAGCAAAGCTCACCCATTGGATTTTACTTTGGTGTGGTGTATTTTTACATTTTGTGGGTCGTTGACCAATGAACGTTACTGGTAACTGTTTATTATTTTTTCCCCCCATCCTCTCGTGTTTTTATAACTTGAATTTTCACAAGCTGCTGCTTCTCTTTCTTGCTTCTTTCCCGTGGAGCAATGGACATCAGATAGTTGTCCATGTTCTGGCTGAGTATCAGCACAGAACCAGGACCCCAAAATTTGAAACTGTATTTAGTTAGGTTTAAGGCTCTGTTCAGATGATTTACCTAAGAATAATTTATTTGACCCAGTTTTCTAAGTTCCTATGCTACACTGAACCATTAATTAGCCATCAAGGCTGGCCTCACCCAAAAATGTGGTTAACTGGTTTGTGGTTCAGTATTTCAGGTGAAAACAGCCTTAAAAACGCAAGAGCCCTACTGGACCAAGTGAAAAACAAATCGGGTCCAACATCTGGCTTCCATAGTAAACTGGCTGATGTGTTTAGGAGGCTTCCAAGGAGGACATGAAAACTGATTCTGAATGGTGTCCTGAGCTGTGGTAGTATTGTAGATAATATACCATGGGCATAGTTCAATTAAAAATTTAGTAGAATGCTTCACACCAAGCGTGGTGCCTCTCTGTTATTCATTAAAGCAGCCATGTCCCTATTCAGGCTTCTGCATGAGCCTGCAAACAGGTGCTATGGCTGTAAGAGTCACTTTGATGGGTCAGTTCCTGACACAGTAGCCTGTAAAAGGACATGGCTGCTTTAATTGGTATCAGAGAGGCCCTGTTCTTGGGTAAGGTTTATAGTATCTTCCAAAAGATCTGTGAAGCGTGCAGTGTCCTAATATACAGCCATCACCTCTAACTCCCCACATAATAAGTCTTTGATCACAGTGGAGATCAATCTGCATTTTCATTCATCAGTTATATGAAGTCTGCATTTATTCCAAGTTTTAGGAAGATATTATTCAGTCAACTTAGTTTAAGGGCCTCTGTTTAAAAAAAGATGGGCCCTAAGTACAACAAGGCTGGAGAGCCCTGGGTTGACCTAGGGATCTGACTGGCCTCTCTGCTCTGTGCAGATTCTGCACTGATTCATTCCTCTCCCCCAGGTTTCTGCCGCAGCCCCCCAGTGATGATTGCTGGAGGCCGGGTGTTTGTGATTCCGTGTGTACAACAGATCCAGAGGTGAGCCCTTCTGTGGCAGCTCTATTTAAAGGTACCCATGATCTCACCAAGGCTTGGTTGGTCTTTTAACTGACCAATTGCATCCACTTGGTTTCATTTCAGTTGCCCATCCAAGTACTAATGAGGGCTGACCCTGCTTAGCTTCCGAGATCAGCCAGGGTTGGCAAGCTGCTGTGGCATTCAACTAATTGGGTGCCCTTTAAACAGTAACCTCATAGGGTGCCCTGAGTTTCAAATGGAATAGAAGGTCAACCTGTTTGCCCTCATTGAGTTCATTGACTGAAATAGAGGGTAACATTTTTGTTAGAGCTGAAACTGAAGAATGTGTGTCTTGTTCTATGCATTAACCCTTTCCTTCTTCCTCCGTCAGGATCTCACTTAATACTCTGACCCTGAATGTGAAGAGTGAGAAAGTTTACACCCGGCATGGAGTCCCCATTTCAGTCACTGGCATTGCACAGGTAATTTTTTTTCCCCAGCAATGCCCTGAAGGATATCATGAGAAGCAATCTAATGCTGGGGAAAAACAGGACTGCAATCCCAACTGAATTCATTTTATTTTTCTGTTCCTCTGGTGGATTCCACTTAAAGATCTGATCATTCCTGGAATGATTTATTATCTTCCTCTTGCTTCCTTTTGCAAAATGCATCCATCAGGGCACCTGTCGTGCCCAGCATTAATCACAGAATATAGAGCTGGAGAGTTCTTCGAAATCTTTAATCTCCTACCCAGGGCAGAATTCTCATATCAGACAAATCAACCTTTGCTTGATTTGATTTGAACTCTCTTCTGGGACAGAGAGGACAGTCACCAGCTGCTTAGAAGAGAAATCTCCTTAATCTGACAAACCCCACGTGGGAGGTCAGATTTAGCAGGGAACTCTTCCCATCTTTCCTCTTTCACTTTCTACACCATCTTTCCCACCTAGGTGAAGATCCAGGGTCAAAACAAGGAGATGCTGGCAGCAGCTTGCCAGATGTTCCTGGGCAAATCTGAATCAGAAATTGCCCAAATTGCTCTGGAGACACTGGAAGGACATCAGAGAGCCATCATGGCCCATATGACAGTAGAGGTGAGGTTGGCTAGAGAAGTGTGCGTGTGCAAGATGTTATTGGTGGTTGAAAAATGGGTGAGGTGCCTCCCTAAAAGCTTGGATGTTTTCTCTCAATTGTGTACATGGGGCTGTTATTCTAACCTAGCTTTTCCACAGTTTGGTATCCAGTTGCATTGAGTCAGGGGTATCTGAAGGAGGGGTCAAAAAGTCAAGATGGCAACCACAACCATGTGATTATAGCCTCTCCCCTTTTTATGTGTGTCATGACATTGGCTTATGATTTGCATTAGCCATGGGACAGTTGGGCCTTGGAGTCCAACCCATATGGAGAGGACATAGTGAAGAAAGGCTGCTTTAAGAGTTCACAAACAAGGACACAACCCTGGGATGAAAAGAGAAGCTGATGCTGCTTCCTTATAGTCTTAAGTGCTGGTGATCAGAGTCTCTGCTTGGTCCTGACATGGTTGCCTCTCTTTGTTTAACAGGAAATCTACAAGGACCGGCAGAAGTTTTCAGAGCAGGTCTTCAAAGTGGCCTCGTCTGACCTGGTCAACATGGGGATCAGTGTGGTCAGTTACACCCTCAAGGATATCCATGATGACCAGGTACACATGTCTGTTTTGTACTGATGCGAACCACTTTCCATCTTGCTCAGAGTGCCCAAACCCAAGAATGCTTAGGCTGGAGATTGGTAAGAATGTCTGATTCAGCAATAGAAACAGAAGACCATCAGACTTTCCCATCGCCAAAGGGAGGTGCTTGGCCCTTTTTCTTTTCTTTTTAATGAAAAGATATGAGCTTCCTTTTGATACTGACAACCGAGTCTTGGGCTGAGCATATTGACTGATTGGATTTATATCTGTCAATCCTTCGAGGTTGGCCAGGTCAAGA